GTTTTATTATAATCTATCTTGTAGTTATTTAGCTTATACTATTATTAGTGTTTGCCATTTATGTAATAAATTTTGTTTTACTACATATTGCTGACTGTGCTGATCCTAATAGCTAATTGTGAATAGCACTGTACACGTATGGGACATATCCCAAATAATTGCTAAACATCACATAATACAATTCCACTACTAGACTATCAATTCATTAGTAATCACAACACCCTTTTGGAGCCCTTACCACTTGCATATTAACATAGTGATGCATGACTCTCATTGTGAAGCAAATAATTCATTAGCCTGCACTTTATCCAGTGATTACAAAAGCAAGCGTACATAAGGGTTTAGCAAAAAGCTATTAAACATATGCTACAGGACTACAAAAACACTAATAGTTTATACATTGTAATTCAAGTCAACACATGCAGCTGTGCATATAGGAATATTTCAGTAGTATTTATCTTAGCTATACTTATAATGTCAATGATAGTGTAGGCAGTTAGATTATGCCAAACTATTATTCTTAGCCAATTAGTAATTATCTTTACAATTAACCAAGATTTTAGAGAGAGAGGGAGAAAAGTGAAGATGAGAAAAGATGAGAAGAATAACATGTGAGTCAAAGGTCAAGTAGTTATGCGCATGTGTAGTTACAGAAATAAAAATAAATGAATATTAATGAATGTGAGAGTCACTACAATAGTTAAAAATGACTTATTGGCAGGAGTAATATTTGGCAAATTTGTTTACAATAAGCAGTTGGTTTGTAATTTTGTTGCCATTTATCATTGAGCATGTTCAAAATGGCAGAGTTAACAAACTGCCAATATTTAATTAATTTCTACAAAAATAATAAGCTAAAAATATTAATTCTCCTGATAGTCACTAATGTAAGGTCTAGAGTACCATTCAGGTGTCAAATCAGTTTTATTATAAAAATACACTTCACAGTCCACAGTGCTACCTTTTGACAGCCCAGGAAACTTGTCTGAAGGAGTACCAGTCAGTATGCACTGTGTTGGTGTTCGTAGGTACCAAATAGGATGTTCCTCCAGTTTATCTAAAACAGCACACATTGAAGAATCAACTTCATATAACTCTCCAACAACAATCTATAATTTAGAAACAAAGATTAGAAAGAAGAAACACTTATATATATAAATTCTCAAAACAATCTACAACACAAAATGTTCCCATATATTTTATTACGCCGAGCATTATGCTTACATTGTCTGGTCTGTCTGGAGGCATTTTTGGTAACAAAAAAGGTACAACTTGATTATTTATGCCAATTTCTTCAGCCATTTTGTCCCCAATCATTTCTGCTATCAGTGGATAAGGATGTGACAATCTTGCTTCACTGATAAACACGGCCTCTCCATTATTCTTGTCCTTCATAAGATAGTGATTACGCAGGCCCTTCTTTAAAGTCCCATAGACGAAAATTCTATGCTTTTTTGAAGACACCTCTGCAGTGGAAGCCATCTTTATTTTAGCTCCACCTTTAAAGGCGTGTCTTAATTGGGCGTGACAATATGGCGTCTTCTTCAAAAGCAGAAGTGGAAGAGGCTCGGGAAATAGACGAGCCACACGTTGAAGTAACTTGGAAAGGAGAGAATGAGAGTGACTCTGAATATGTACTTAGTATGGACAACTTCCCATTAGAGTAAGAGGGATAGTACCCATTTTTATATGAAATATGAAATTAATATTCAATTTTTTCCTTTCTATGTAGTTCAGCTGGAGTGTGGACTGAGCAAGAAGCACTCTCTATCTACAAAGGGAAAATGGAGAGACTCCGTATGCTGTACATGGGACAGCTCTCTCGTCTCGGCTACCTCTTACAAGAGAGAAGACGAAGATTCTTACAAGAATGGCAGGCAGTAGGAGGAGCCAGAGAAAAAGGCAAGGATTAAAGAGGAAAGAAAAGTTGAATGTATTATAATTATAATCTTTACTCTCTCTCTCTCTCTCTCTCTCTCTCTCTCTCTTTCGTTACAGCTTCATTACCATCAGAAGGCGGCAATAAACACGACATTGCTTATCGCTGCTACAGAAAGAGGACACTGGAACAAGGTCTCCTTGAAAGAAAGCAAAAATTAAAGAGAGTATCAGCAACACTTGACCTGTACACTAAGAAAGAACTGAAGGACACAAACAGATCTCACTACCAGCACTTAGTTAAACTCCAGCAACAACTGAAGGCAAATAACTCAACACCATGTACCACCACTGGTTGTAACCAGTTGAGTTTACCGTTTGCAGCAAAGTGTTCTAAACGTAAGAGAGAGAGAGAGAGAGAGGAAAGGAGGAGGGGAATGGGAAAATAGAATATTCTATTTTTATTTTTAAATCTGTATATGTATCAAAATAAAGTGCAAAAATGATGAATTCTTTTCTAGCCATTGTATTAAAATACATGTATCCTATACATAAATGTACATGTACATATCCTGTTCATGGCCTTTGGCCTGATTTTGGAGCCACTTTAAAAAATTGTAAAAAATCAAATTTTTTGATTGGAACTGGCTCTAACTCTCTACACAACATAAGAACATGTATATGTATCAGAAAGAATTATAAAAATGGCAAATTCTCTCCTTTTCAATTTTGGTGAAATTTGGCCCGGGACCATGTACTATAGTACAGGGACTTTTACCCGATTTTGGAGCAACTTTAAAATTCGTTAAAAATCCAATTTTGATCGGAATCAACTCAAACTTTCTACACAAGATAAGAGCATGTATGTGTATCAGAAAAAAATTATAAAAATGGCAAATTCACACATTTTCAATTTTGGTGAAATTTGGCCCGGGACCATGTACTATAGTACAGGGACTTTTACCCGATTTTTGAGCAACTTTAAAATTCGTTAAAAATCCAATTTTGATCAGAACCAGCTCAAACTTTCTACGCAACATAAAAACATATTTATGCATCAAAATAAATTATAAAATTGGAGAATTCTCTTCTAGTCATTTTTGACAAAATACCAGATACTATTTTGAGTAAGGGGTTAATGAAAAATGATTGGGAGGGAATCCTCCTTTTTCTGTGCATGTATACCTGTACATGTTTTGATATTATAAGTATTGATGTAATATGTTATTTTTATTACAGATATAGTAGAGGATTCTAAGCAGCAGTTGTATACTTCATGTAGCTACACTGGCCCAAATGGAACGACATGTAACAATCCTGTACCAAAGTACCTGGAGCCATTGCTCTGTGGAGGACACTGGGACCAAGGGGAAGTGGTTATACCATCGGACACTGAGAGTGATAGTGATCATGATGATGATGATAATGATGAAAGAAAAGATGATGATGATGATGTTAAAGTTAAAAATGAAAATTAATTTTTAAAAATTAGTTAAATAATACCACTCACGTTTCACGTGGCTCCACGTGGTTGCAATGTTTAGTATTCAGTGCATTCCCGTATAACTGGACTAGGGGACCTACGCCCCCTTTTGGGAGATCCCCACTATTTTAAGCAGCTCTAGGAATTTGAATAGAAATTTAAAGATGTAAAACTTTATAATGGCTAATGGTTCAGATCTGGTGAGTAAATCCTCTCTTATTTACTGTAATAATGGCTCATGCCCTCTGTTTAAGTTCTTTTCATGTGTATGCATGTATTCAACTTGAATCAATTGTTTTTCTTGTTTTAATAGGATTCACAGCTTTGGTTTGCCTGTTTAGATGGTGATGTGGAGAAAGCCAAACAACTAATAAAAGATGGTGCTGATATTGAATGGAAAGGACAGGTAAAATAGTTAGATATTTAATGAGTTTTTAAGCTGCTATTCATGTACACATACAGCACTGTATGTGCCGTATTAAACACTACCCCCAGGGTAGTCTTGCATAGCCAAATGTCAAAAAGGGGGATGGGTCTGGCTATGGACAAACCCTCGGGCTCCTAGAAGCTCTTTAGAAATAGTGTGCTGTGCTTTCACTTTCAGGGCAGTCCAAAATATAAATTATATTTTTAAAGGGCTAAGGGGTGTGTCAAATAGATGTGTAGCTTGGTGGCATATTATTTCATTTGCTGTTCTATTATAGCATGGTATGTCATGATATGCTATATATATATATCAAGATATATACTATAGTTACTGTAAGATCAAAGGCACCGCCGGGTAGTATATTAAGCATATACACCCCTGCCTCTGATATATACACCCCAGCCCTCGATATACACCCCTCGCGGTTTTTAATGATATTCATAGTGCCACGTGGTGAATAAATGGCTGCCTCAGTGCCTCTTCTCTTTCTCTTTGCTGCCCGACTTTAGGCCTTATCTTTCTGTTCTTAGCGGCCAGTTTCTTGCAAGTAGCAAAGGACACTCTAATGAATAGAGCAGACCTCTTTTAGTCAGATTTACTCCATCGGTTGTCACTACCAATCATAAAATGCGCAGTGGCAGTCCCGTGCGATTTGATCTTACAGTAAGTATAGAATATATTATATGTACCATACCTTCTCGGTCTATATCAGTAATATGAGACCCTCGTCCCTCGATATCTTCCCTTGGCTTCGCCTCGGGAAGATATCTCAGGACCAGGGCCGCTGAGAGCTTTGGAGGGGCCCAAGGAAGGAAATTGTGGCGCGCGAAGTGCGTCGAAAAATTTTGCATTTTTAATTATATTCATAGTGGGTGTGGTCAAAATTAATTAATTTTTACCTGCACGCATGATAACATGCACTTTGTCTATTGAATTTTAACTAGCTAGGAAGATTGATTTTGATGATATCATGAGTTTTTTGCTAGGCAAAAGGCCAGAAGGGCCCATTTTCTGTAATGATTTTGTTTAATTACATTCTTAAAAAATTTCTTGGGGCCCTTAAAATTGTGGGGCTCAGGGCATTTGCCCCTTTTGCCCCCCCCTCTCAGTGGCCCTGCTCAGGACTCAGGTCTCATATTACTGATATAGACCTCGAAGGTATGGTATATATATTACATATATAGTTTCTTGGGCTTCTATTTCTTGTCTTTAATTTGTGCACAGGCCTCTATTGGAGGGACCTCCTATACTTTATGTAGGATTGTATTTCCTTAATGTATTATAATTGAAACAGACTTTTATTCTCACATGGATTCCTGCTTTACATAGTTATTGCATGTACCTATCTCTTTCTCTATTATTTTTATTTCAGGGTAGTCATTCTCCATTGTCTATTGCTGCCTATAATAGCAAGACAGAGGTTGTCAGATTACTGTTGAGTTCTGGTGCAAATGTTGATGCTGTTGATGAAGTAAACTGAAATTATACATGTAGTATATGTTAGATTGCTGCCATATTAAAGCACGAGACTTTGAAGTTTAATTTAATATTGTAAAATCTAGCAGTCAAAATATAATTTTCATAACTTTTATATTTCTATGTCTGCTTTATTGTAGCATCAGTTTTGAATTGTTTCCAGCATTATGCTATGCTATTCTTTTATTTTTATACATAGCATAATAGGTCAGCTTTATTTTGGAGTGCGTTTCATGGAAGCATGACAATGACAAAGGTTCTTCTTGACTATGAAGCTGATATGAATCTTCTAACAAAAGTAGGTTCTCATTTTAAATTATTTCTCTTTTATGAGTCAAATCTTGTCTATTATTTTATTTCATGTTCCTTCATCCCTGCATACTTACCCTCCACGTTTTCCTATTAGAAAAGTAGATCTACTGTACTAATGGGTGCTACTAGTACAGGAAGGCTGGATATTGTGAAGTTACTTGTTAGTAGAGGAGCTAGTTGGAAGGTCGCCAATGAGGTACTATATGAGATAGAAGAAATTTATAGTATTATGCTTTCCTCTAATAATGATATACATGTTCATATTACATTTTTTGTTGAATATATAGGATGGACTGACAGCTTTAGACATTGCAAAGAAAGATAATCATGAGCATCTAATTCAGTATCTCTCAAGTTTAGGTAAGTGTAAATTATTAATTGTTTGTCAATTTCAATGCATACAGCTAAAAACGTTGGTGGACATTATACTTATGGTTGTCTTTTTTAATTGGCCTTTGGCAGTTTTACATTAGCCATGCACATGTATTTTGGAGCATGTGAACATGTTCTTATGTTGTGTAAAAATTTTGGACTCGTTCCGATCAAAATTGAATTTTTTATGAATTTTTATAGTTGCTTATAAATCAGAATACCACCAATTCCCCATTTTTAATTCCTTGCCAATTTTGACATGATTTCCTGCTCATATACATTATGATAATAAAGCAGCTGTCCTTGTGTCTTTATTTGAACTGATTCTTTTAAACAGATGATTCAGAGTCCCAGATGAGGAAAGCTCTTACGACGGACATTAAGATTAAATTAAAGATCACGCGTATGTCAATTCATGGAGCACCAGGCAGTGGAAAGACATGTCTCCAGCATCTCATACTAAACGAGCCTCCTCCTCTCCAAAGATCAAGCACTGGTGTAGTGACACCAGCTGTAAGAGGATCCACCTGTGGATACATGGAGACTGACAGCTCTCACTCAATGAAGAGAGTCAGCGAGGAAGAGTTCATCACCCACTTAGCTAAGAGGTTGAAAGGAAAGGAAGACGCACCGAGCTCCAAGCAGCGTTCATCAACATACCCCCCCTCTACTCCTCCTCCTACTCCTCCTTCTCGTCTGTCTTCTTTACAAAGAGCCTTTACGTCTTTCCTTAGTCGTACCTCATCAGAAAGTTCTGATGCTTCCTCTCCTTTGCCTGATTCACCTCTACCTACTCATTCTGTTCATTATGATATCATATCACAAATATCAACAGAGTCCTGCTCTGAAGAAGATTATCGAGCTCACTGGACACTCTGTATCGATTCTGGTGGTCAGGCTGCTTATCAAGATATTGCTCCACCTTTCTTGCGTCTGAACTCACTCAATATAATCACTTTAAGGTCAGTTGGACTAGTATTAATCCTTTAATTATTTTATTTAATGCCAAAATTAATACCACACATTTATTAGTGACACACATGTCAATAGTATACAATTTAGTGATAATCACTAGTATAATTATGACTGACATGTATGTAACATTGCTCTCGCATGTTGCTACAAAGTTTTATGTACATGTACATGCTGAAAAATGTCCTGAATGGTCTACTGTTGCATGCATCAAACAGTACTGTACAAGTATGTTTTTATTTGCTCCATTGTCACAAAGTTAAAAACCCATCAGTGCCATACTGCCATTGTCACGAAATCCGTGACAAGCAAAAACCCATTAGTTCCATTGTCACAAAATCTGTGACAAGCAAAAACCCATTAGTTCCATTGTCACGAAATCCGTGACAAGCAAAAACCTATTAGTTCCATTGTCACAAAATCCGTGACAAGCAAAACCCATTAGTTCCGTTGTCACGAAATCCGTGACAAGCAAAAACCCATTAGTTCCGTGACAAGCAAAAACCCATTAGTTCCATTGTCACGAAATCCGTGACAAGCAAAAACCCATTAGTTCCATTGTCACAAAATCCGTGACAAGCAAAAACCCATTAGTTCCATTGTCACAAAATCCATGACAAGCAAAAACCCATTAGTTCCATTGTCACAAAATCCGTGACAAGCAAAAACCCATTAGTTCCATTGTCACAAAATCTGTGACAAGCAAAAACCCATTAGTTCCATTGTCACGAAATCCGTGACAAGCAAAAACCTATTAGTTCCATTGTCACAAAATCCGTGACAAGCAAAACCCATTAGTTCCGTTGTCACGAAATCCGTGACAAGCAAAAACCCATTAGTTCCATTGTCACGAAATCCGTGACAAGCAAAAACCCATTAGTTCCATTGTCACAAAATCTGTGACAAGCAAAAACCCATTAGTTCCATTGTCACGAAATCCGTGACAAGCAAAAACCTATTAGTTCCATTGTCACAAAATCCGTGACAAGCAAAACCCATTAGTTCCGTTGTCACGAAATCCGTGACAAGCAAAAACCCATTAGTTCCGTGACAAGCAAAAACCCATTAGTTCCATTGTCACAAAATCCGTGACAAGCAAAAACCCATTAGTTCCATTGTCATGAAATCCGTGACAAGCAAAAACCCATTAGTTCCATTGTCACAAAATCCGTGACAAGCAAAAACCCATTAGTTCCCTTGTCATGAAATCCGTGACAAGCAAAAACCCATTAGTTCCATTGTCATCTACAGAAGAATAGAATTTCTGTCAAGAGACACGTACAATATGGTACTTTTGAGCAAAGGATAGATCATAATTTTGTAACATTTTGTATTATTATAATAACAGTTTATTATTATCAATTTTACTCTATTCCCAGGCTTATTGATGAATTGGATCGTCAGCCAAACAATGAGTTTTACATAAACAACATTCCCTTTCCTTCTAATCATCCGAACCACCTCACCAACCGTCAAATGATTACAAACTTTGCTCGCTCTCTCTTATCCGTCTCACCCTGCAGTGTCCTCCCATCAAATCCAGTCCCAATACATAATCTACTGGTAATGGGGACTTA